CCCTTAATCTATATTAGCTTCTAATCATGTTTACAAAGACAGAAATGCCCTTACTTAAGTGTGGGGCAGAGTAACTCTAATAACACAGCCACATAAGCAAGTTACTTAATAAACAGAAGAAGACTAAACTACCCCTATTCGACACATCTTAACAATTACAGTTACATATGTCAAACTTCCGTACAAAAGAATAGGCCCTAAGAATTGTAATTACTTTGGTTAATATGCTTATACTGTTAAATTGACATAAATTGATTAATATGAATTTACACATATTTGCTCTGATGCAACACAAACTATGAAGATCTAAAATAGAAATAGTCAAAAATTAAATAACAGTATACGCATAGATGAAAGAAATAAAATTCAATTTCCAATCTTACATTCTATATCCCTCTATTGTGTAAACATCCTTAAGGTTTGGAATCCTTTGGTCAAATGCAACAGTTTTTCCCACTTCGTAATCTTTCACAAGTACTTGCCTCTCAGCATTACCCTAGAAACAAAGCAATGGTATTAGATATAGTTGAAAGGATTTTTCCAATCAAAGATATTTAAAAAATGTTCACAAAAGATCTACCTATCTAGATCATGTTTAATAAAGAAGAAGAAAGAAGAAAGAAAATGTTATAACCAAAAAAAATGAGCATTCACTGATGATATATAAAACTAAATTATTATCTTAAGAGAGGTAAGATGCATTGTATGAGAAGATTATCATGAGAAATTATTTATGCAACATAACTGAAAAAGTTTTTTTCAGAACTGTAAAGTGCTTTCATAAAAAAGATCCACTACAAAAGGAAAAAAAAAAAAAACCCTGTCACAGAGGATATACAAAACACCATCTCATCCTGATACAGCCTTAATCCCTCCAAACAAAAACAAAAAACTATCCGTTCCTTACAAACAGAAAATTGAAGTCAAAAAATACACTTGGATGTCTGCCTTTAAACATTGGGTGTATTGCCAGCCACGAATGGATCATCCCCAGATTTTTTCTCGGTACATCTTCTTTTGAGTTCTGAGTTCCTTCAAATATTCTGTCAGTTCTTTGACTCCACACCATCCACATAACAGCAGCGGGGATGATACTCCATGCCATCTTTCCAGCCTTACTAAGATGCCATCAAGCTTCTATGAGCCCCTTTACATCTGCTGGAAAGCACAGCTTAGCCTCAAATAAATCCACCACTCACAACCAAACCCAGTGTGTAAAATCACAGTGTAACAGTAAATGACTTGAGGATTCCACATTCCCACTACATAGGGGACAAGCCAAGTCAGCCACTTCTACCCCTCTTTTGGCCAAGTTCTCCTTGGTTAGGATCTTGTCCAGTACTGCTGACCAAACAAAAAATGCTATCATTGAAGGAACAGCTATAATCATCTTTTTTGACTTGGAAAAGAGATGTCTTCCTCCTCTGAAACAACTTTAAAGAAAGAGTTCACAGAGAATACCCCTGATTTCTCAAAGCTCCACAGTCTTTTATCTTCCCATATTCCTGGTATGATTGAGTCATACAGCAGCTGGAGTAATCTGATTAGGGATGCCACCTCCCAATCATTTAAATTTCTCCTGAACAGGGGGTTCCAAGTGCATTGCCCATTCTGTCTTTCCAAGCAGTCAGCAACTGTTGCATTTTTGTTTGTGGAAATTTCAAACAGATCTGGAAATGCAATCATTAGGGGGCCTTCTTTACACCAGTCATCCTTCCAAAATTAGACCTTTCTACCATTTCCCACTTTGTATTTAATACCCTTCAGAAACTGGGGCTGTATTTTTTGAATTGCCTTACAGTTTGAGCAACCGTATGGGGAAGCTATTTCCTCTGTTTCCCAACCTCTGGTACTCATCCCATATTTGGCAGCACCTATCAGCCTTCTCCACAAATTTTCTGTCTGTTCATTAAACCTCCATAGCCATTTTCCAAGCAGAGCTTTGTTTACCTCTGTTACTGATCTAATCCCTAGGCCACCATTTGCCTTGGAACAGCAAATTTTCTTCCAATTCACCAGGTGGCATTTTGATTCCTCCCTCCAACCCCTCCACAAAAAGTCCCTCATCTTTTTTTTTCTAAAGCTGCAGCCCATTTAGCTGGAATAGGGAATAAAGATAAGTAAAAGACAGGGAGGGAGGCCAACAAACTTTTAATTAAGGTTACTTTGCCACCTTTTGATAAATATTCTGTCTTCCAAGAGGCTAGTCTCCTGTCCACCTTCTCCAGAATCGGTTCCCATATAGATTTGGATTTACAACTTTCTCCCAAAGGTATGCCCCAGTATTTACCAGGAAGCTTGCCGACCTTGCATCCCCAATCATCTGCCCATTCTTCCATATTTAACACCTCCCCCACAGCCATTACTTCACTTCTCAAGATGTTTACATGTAATCCTGACACCACCGCAAACCATCTCAAAATAGCCTTCACATTCCAGAGCTGCTCCCAGGAAGCATCACAGAAAAATAAGGTGTCATCTGCAAATTGAAGGAGAGCTATCTCCACCTCCCCACTGCCTACTTTAAAACCTTCCAACAGACCTCCCAACCGGGCTCTTTCTACCATTTTGAGCAAGGCTTCCGTCACACAGATGAACAAAAGGGGAGAGAGAGGGTCCGATTGTCTCAGACCCCTAGAACTCCTAAACATTCCACACACACTGCCGTTTAACAAAACTGAGAAAGATGGAGAAGATATGGATACTTTTATCCAATTTCTCCACCTTTTCCCGAAATTAAACCTTTTCAGCATATAGACAAGAAAGTTCCAGTTCATCTGATCATAAGCCTTCTCCATATCCACCTTGCACAGCAGACCCACTCTTTCACTTTTCCTTCTTGAATCTGTTAACTCATTTGCAATCAGAACCCCATCCACTAGCAGCCAGTCCCCTATAAATGCCCCTTGAGATTCTGCAATCAGATTTAACATCACCTTAGCCATTCTATTAGCTAATACTTCAGCTAACATCTTGTACATGCTACTAATTAGGCTAATTGGTCAAAAATCAGCCAACTTCACTGCCCCCTTCTTTTTTGGGACTAAGGTGATGAAAGTGTGGTTTAGGCTTCTTTCTAAAGTATCCCCTTCATGAAATTCTTTTAAAACATTCATCACATCCATCTTCACAATTTCCCGACATTTCTTGCAAAACAACATTGTAAACCCATCCGGACCCGGTGACTTATCACCCTCAAACCCTTTTACCACTTCCCACACTTCTTCCTCTGTAAATGGCTTCTCCAGATCACTAGATTGCTCGGTTGAAAGGGATTCAAACTGTAAACCTTCTAACAGAGGTCTACGCTTCCAATTTTCTTTGTACAGGCTTTGGTAGAACTTTACTATGTGGGATTTAATCTGCCTTTCCTCCTCTATATCCACTCCCTGCACTTCTAGTTTTTTTTTTATTTTGTTCTCTCTCCTTCTTGCACTAGCCATTTTGTGGAAGAACTTTGTGTTACTGTCCCCCTCTCGAAGCCATAAACATCTTGATCTCTGCCTCCACTTAATTTCCTCTTTATAGGCTAGCTTGTCATACTCCCTTCTTTCCATGTCCCTTCTTACTCTTTCCTCTTTGCGAATATTTCCATTTTCCTCTTTCCTATCAATTTCAGCAATTACCTCCAGAAAATTATTCTTTTTATGCTCACTTTCTTGGAAAATCTCTCTGCTCCACTTTGTAATCTTCTGTTTTAACACCTTTAATTTTTTGCTGAAAATGTGACTTGTCGTGCCTTCAAAGTAAAACCCAGCCCATCACTCAGCTATCAAATCCAGAAAGCCTGGTTCCTCAAACCATGAATGCTCAAATCTGAAAGATAAGTGACCTCCCCTGATACCACCACAGTCAAACGTTACTGGGGCTTCCAAGGTCAGATTTGGGAATAAATCCTCCCACTTTGTTGATACTACAAACCTGTCTAATTTGACCAAAGTTGCTTCATCTTGGTTGTTTGTCCATATATATTCCCCCCACCCCCCAACAAAGGTAAGTCTATCAACTCCCATCTCCTCATGAATTCTACAAAACCCCTCATTCCCCTCCTATTCTCCCTTTGACCCTTCTTCTCATAAGAAAACCTGATTGAATTAAAATCCCCACCTATAATCCAAGGATGACTCCATTTTCACCTAATCTCATCCAATTCTTCCCAGAACAAACGTCTCAAACCCTCCTCATTTGGACCATAAACCACAGTCAAGACCCATTCCCAATCTCTTTCTCGTGACTAGAGAAGTAAAGAGATCGAGAACTACCCTAGAATTTTATCCTTCATTGATACCAACTTAGTGTCCCACACCACCAAGACCCCCCCATTCGTTCCCCCCATAAGCTTCTCACCACTGCCTGATTCATTTTTTCCATCTTCATTTCCTGCAAACACAGAATATCTGGATTCCATTTCTTTAAATAAGCATTTGCAACCACCCTCCTACAGCGTGAATTCAACCCCCTTATATTGCACGACACTAACTTGAGCAACTCCATTTGTACACTAACTTAACAATTAACCCTCTCCACACCCTTCCACTTTTTCACCACCCCTTTCCCAATTGCTGCCCTCTACTCACACTTCCAGTCTAAGTTCTTTCTCCATTCTTCTCCATCTTTTTCCTTTCTCTTCTAAAACTTTCTTTCAATTTCTTCCAGGAACTTCTTTGTCACTCCTTCCAGTCCCTTCATTGACACCCCTAGAAAATTTCCTATGCCTAGGAGCTTTGAAAAAGCCCCAACTTGAGACTTCCACTCCCTCTTCTAATGTCGATTGAAGATCCCTCTGCTTGTTGTCTATCCATTCCACCCTCTCCTCCGCCATTACCACTGCAAGCGGTTGCACCTCTTCTTCATCAACCATAGCATTATTCTCTGCTACCGTGACTAAATCTCCCCCTCTATCAGTAACTTCTTTTCCCGTGCCCCTTGTTTCATCCTGCACTCTATCGTCCCCTCTTTCTTCTTCTCCTTCCCCCGCCAACATCTCCTCTAAACTCTCTTGTCTGAGACTACTTTCTGCCATAGCTCCCCTATCTTCTTCTCTTCTATTTTCCCTTCGGTCCTCCCTCATTTCCTTTTCACAAGAGCAACCTTTGCTAGACACTAGTCCAACCAGACCGAGCCGTTGACTAGTTCTCCCACAGTTGGCCCCCTTCTTGGTCCCCCACGATACCTCCTCACCAAAGTTCGTAGGTGGGTTCAGTCTCCTATCAGCGTTTTCCCACTACTATTCTAAAAATCAAGTGGGGACATGAAAGACCTAGATCGCCTTCTTCCATCGTGTCTTCTCGATCTACTCCTCCCTCTTCGATGGCCTAGATCACCCCATCTGCCTTCTAGCATCTAACAGCATCCCTCCACTACTTTTTCACACAACCTTTCAAAATTTGAATCTTCTAGAAGGTTAAAGCAAACCCCCTGCCCATCCTCTGACAATTTGCCGCCCACTCCCTCTGGCTGAATACCCCTATAAGCTTTACCTCCCATCCGATCGGTGGCAGTGCTTACAATGTCTACAGAATCCGCCACGCGTCCCACAACCATAGTTGTCCTTGTCCCCCTAGCCTCTCCTTCTCCGGCGTCGGTAGGTCTATCCCCTTTGTCTCCGTAGGTTGTCTTCCCATTCATCTTTGCTCTTATTTCTTCTTTGATATTATTCCCTAAGAGAAAGGAATTTATCCAGGGCCTCTCCGCTAACACTGCTTGCCTTGCTTCTTCCGTTTTCTTACATTTTTCTTGTGGTACCTCCGGCCACAATGTTCCTACCACCATTTCATTTCCTTCCACAACATTTGTTGTTGTCGACGGATACCCCTTCCATTTTACCATAATCCTCACCCATTCTGCCTTTTCTTTCACCTCTTGTGAGTTATCCCTCTCCACAAACCCTCTGCATAAATCACCTATCCAAATAACCACTGTCTCACTCCAAAGTTGCAACAGGAGCCCAAAGATCTTCCCCCAGTATTTGTCGCCCTCTTTAAGAGGTTTACCCAGTCCCCCAGAAAACACTTCCCAAGGGACCAAGTGCATCAAGGAACTTCCAATATTCCTTGCAGCTGTATTCCAGACCGTCGTCGCCTCCTCCTCAGAAGGCAAGATGAAAAGGTAGCTTCATCCCTGCAGTTTGCTAACCCTCACCCCGAAGGCTACATTCCATTTTCTCACCGCCCACTGTTGCAGCTTTGAGATTGAGTACAAGGTCTCCACCGAGCCAACCAAGCAAGATTTTAGAAACTTCCTTCTCTTCTCCTCCCCTGAACCACTGACTTCCGCGAAGAAATTTTTTCTCCCCACTTTAATCTTGGCTTCTCACTCCTTTGTCCATCCAAACCCTTTTGCTTTCTTTGTGAAGGACTCCCCTCTCTGAATTTCCCCTCCATTGTACCTCTTACCGTTTAGTCCCTCTGCTCTTCTTGTTCTCTAGGGAAAAGGCCTTTGGTAGTAATGGGGACGACCTCCACTCTCTCTCAAGTGGAAGCTTTTTCGAGCAGATCTATTCCCTAACATCTCTGGTCACCTCCAAACAACCCAGAGCATCTTCGATCATCTCCAGCCATGCTGAATTTCAATTATCTGAGATGAAGAAGTATACTTCTGAGCCTTAGCATCATCATAGAATATCTCCGGAGGAGCTTGTAACCCATGCCTCAAAGACATCTATTTCACTCCAACTAAGAAAACCAGATGCCAAGTTCTTCATACAACCCCTAAAATCATATTCTAGATAGTTTTGATTCCTCTGAAATAATCCCTTAAAGCACCGAAAGCCTTTTCTCTCCTACTTCACACCCAATAGCCTCCACCCTCCGATGGTTGGAGAATCAAATGGAACAGCCGCAAGGGAAGCTTCTTTCTCAAAAGCCATGGATGGAAGAGCGGACAAGTGAAGTGACATGGGATTTTAATCTTACCTATACATACACAGATTGAAATGAATCAATCACAGATTGAAATGAGAAGTAACAAGGTAAACAAGGTAAAAAGTAAGAAAAGCAAGAAATAAATAGTTATGCTAAAGTTTACCATATCCACTAGAACGTTCATTACAGTAGGATTATCAAAATGTAAAACGGAAAGAGTAGTTGGGTGCTTTGTCTGGGGAAGCATGTGACTAGGAATGTTTAACCTACAAAAGAAGTTAATGATGGCTTAATAATAAGTTTAATAATGAAAACTAGATTATATAAAATCTAAGTAACAACACCCCATCATTACCTTGGTCTAGCAAAATCATATATGATAATTTGAAGGTGGTTGTAATTCGCCTCCCTTGCACATTCTCTCAAAAGAAGATTATCTCTATGATCTGTGACAATAAAAGCATTTAGCAGCTTCCCTATGGCATTTTCAACAGCTTGAGCCCACATATCACCATTAGCCAATGTCTGCATTTGCATAACCACAAGGACAATGCAGAATAGTTAGTTGCAAGAAACTAATGATCTATAGACGTAATTTCATAAAAGAAAGTGTTTTTATTTCTTTCTCAGTTCTATTGTCAAGTGCAAGAGGAAACAAAACATAACAAAGAGATAATGGTAAGATACCAACTAGTTATCCAAGAATAGTTGTAGGCAACTCCACAAATTTTTTTGATAACTCCTGTTTCTTCCCTTTTGCTAGGAAAAGGTTCTTGTGCTTTTCACTCTTTTTGCTTCTACCACAATTTTTTTCAAAAAACAAAGTATTCTGATATGGAAATGACACTAAACAGAACAGAATGGCAAAACAGGATTCATGTAGCCGACCCCATATAGTTAGGATAAGGCTTAGGTGATGATAATCATGATGAAAAAGTGTCCTGAGAGCTTCAGGCACACCCTACTAGAAGGGCTACACAATTCTTTGATATAGGGAATCACCCTACCCACTGACTCCCCAATGAGCTGAAACAAGTCTTCATAGGGATATATGGCTCTGGAAGAGTAAATTCATTGGTCAATGAGCCAAATGCTCCAGCTATCCACCTCGAAAGGCAGGGCATAAGATAGTCTAGTACATCAAAACACTTGACTAACCCTATGTGGATTTTCTGGTCTAACAAAATTGATTTATTTAGATGTATCAAAGGAAGAGAGAAAGACCAGTATATCCCTGGTCATGTAACCTCCATAACCACAACAAAAACAGAAAAATATATACTTACCAAGCCCAAGGAATACTATAAGAAGACAAATGATAAAAGACTCCAACTTAAACCCAAATACTGTTAAAACCAGAAAACATACAAACCATACAATACCCCCCAACCCAAGCTGATTACATAGCTTGCATAGGTTTAACTGAAGCTTGAGCCGAGAGCCTCATGAAAGAATGCCTACTAGCTTCCTATGATCTGTCTCGATGTATGAAAGACCCACTTCCCCAAACAGCTCTCTCCCCCCATATAAAATGGCAATCAACCTCCATGTGCTTTATCCTATTATGTTGCACTGGATTATGAGCTATGTTAATTGTTGCTTCATTACCACAATATGATATCAGTGGTTCATTGATCCCAATACCAAACTCTTTAGGTAGTGTTTGGTTTGAGAGAAGATTTTGGTGGCATGGGAAAGGCTGGGATGGGATGGGATAAGAAAGGGAAAATAGGTGAAAATATTTACATTCCATTGTTTGGTTGCGAAAAGGAAAATAGTCTGAAAATGAACCCCAATAACAATTATTAATTAATTAAGCAATTGGTAATATTTTTATTATTTTGTATTTTATTATTAATTAATTTTATAATTAATTAGTTTATTCATTATTAATTAAGAATTAGTATTTTAAAATGTAGTTAATATTTTATTTTATTAATATTTATAATGAATTATATAATAACTTTTCTTTTTTTATGAATGAATGGTGTTTTTATTAAATGGAGAAAGAAATAGTACAATCACCCTAAGAGGAGGCATGAGATGTTACCTCCCCTTAAGGATGATTCCAATCCCAAACTCTTCTCAGATTACAGTTTACAAAGTAGCCCAAAACAGTGAAACCCTTGAAGCCCCTTGTTTAGCTAGAAAATCTGCCATGGCATTGGTCGATCTGCTGACCCACTAAAATCTAGCTAACATAGTCCTTGTAAGCCATTTAACACTTTTGATCATATCCTTAAAGCCCCAAATGATAACTTTTATTTATTATTATTAATTATTTTTAAATATGTAACATTTTCATTAATTATTTATTATATTTATTTATTTAGTAAATTAATAAAAAAATTATTTAATTATTCATTAGTTACTTAATTTAATTATTACTATTTTGGTGTTGATTATTAAATGACTATTATTTAATAAATAATATTTTTAATTATTTATTATTTTATTATTAAATATTAATTATGTATTAACTATCAATTAATTAATATTAATAATTAGTTAATTAATTATTAACATTAATTGATATTTTAATTTTATTAGTACTTATGAATTAATTAATAATATTAATGTTTTATTATAATTAATAATTAACACTTAATTTATTTTAATTGATTAATATTTCTTTAAATTTACTTATTAATTCCTTTCATTAAATTATTCTGGTGGTATGTCATTAAATGATTAATAATTTATTAATGGGTCATGGTTCTAATATTAACTCTTGAAAATACTATAAGGGAGATGTTTTTTTCTAATAGAAAAGTCCCCCCATCCTTTCCACTTGTTTTACACCAAAATGGTGGGATTCCACACCCCAAGAATTGAGAACTGTAATCCCACCTTTTTCCCATCACATCTTATGACACCCCACAAACCAAACATGTAAGGAAAGAATATTCAAGAATATTCCTTTTTTGCAGTTCCCATACACAGACTAAACAGAGTGAACAAAGACCACAAAGAACCTCTAAAACCCCACGTATCATGGCTTTGTACCTAGTTTCTGCACTAGAATGAGCTACAACAAACTATTTCTTACTTTTCCATGGCACTAAATTTCTACCCACAAAAGCACAGTAGCTTGAAATCAATTGTCTACCAACAAGTGATCCTGCCCAATTAGCATAGATGAAAACATCCACCATCAAGTGACTATGGTGAAAATACAAAATTTCCTTCAGTGGAATTCCTTTCAGTATGCAAGTGCATGTTCTATCCCTGCTAGGTGTGTGCTACAGGATTCATGTATATACTTGCTAACAGCATTATTTGCATATGAATCTAAATTTAATAACTTACCCACCAATCTCTAATACATGACAAGGGAGAAATTGGGGAGGAAGTTGCCCAAAGAATTAGAGCAGAATGGGAAAAATGGAGGGGTGCATGAGGATCTTTATGTGACAGGCAAATACCACTTAGGCTAAAATAAAATTTCTATAAAACAGTTTTTAAGGCCAGCTATGTTGTAAGGAATAAGAGTGTTGGGCAGCCAAGAAACAATGTGTCTAGAAAATGAGTGATGCAGAACTGGGAATGCTGAAATGGATAAGTGGAAAAACTAGAAATGACAGTGATACAATCTATTAGTCTCATCAAATGAGCTTATTCAAGGGATCTCTTCCTCCTGAAATGGAGAGTTACAGGAGAAGAAAGAAGAGGGAGAAGAAACTTTGGTTTTCCTTATTCTTTCAGATCTCACATAGGGTATTTATATCCCACAACATCTGGGATCTCATGCCAGTTTCATGAACATGGAGGGGCTACATTAAGTTATGCTGACATGGCTTCCTTGTATAAACAAATTTGATTAGGGACGTGACATGAGATATCCTCTGTGGGTTGCTCAACTGGGAGTCCATAGCAGCTGGGACATCGGCCTGCGCCTTATGAGCCTGAGGCTTGTCTGAGTACAGGTTTGGGTCTAATAATTCCATCCCCCTTAAGAGTGACCTTGTCCTCAAGGTCAAGGTCTGGGTAATGCTGTTGTAATTTAGAATCCTCCCAAGTTGCATCTTCCACGAGAAGATTTTTCCAGGCAACCAAGGCTTGATTGATGGTCTTCATACCAGCCTTGACCCACCCAAAGTCCAATATTTGCTGAGGTTCCCAAAAGAACATTCCCTCTTCTGAAAATTCTAGTTAAGGTGGAACCGAACATGGCAGATGAAGATGTGCATGGTTTCAGCAAACTAACATGGAATAGTAGATACAATTTGGAGGATGATGATAAATCCAGGTGATAAGCTACTTGCCACACCCTTTATCACCTTGAAGGGGCCAGAATAGCGAGGTGCTAACTTCTGCCAGGCTTGTTGAGCCAAGGAAAACTATCGGTAAGACTAGAGCTTGAGGTAAATAAGGCCTCTTATCATAAATTCCAATTCTATGTGCTTTGTTTTTTGGCCACATCTCACACCACATCCCTTTAAGTCAGTTGTTGCTCTACCTCAGCAACAGTGGTGAACACTTTCTCATAGGGTAAAATTTCTGGTGGGTCTCTGCCATACAACACCTTAAGGAGGGTACTGTCAACGGAAACTTGATAAGAAGTACCAGAACTTGGCCCATGGCACTTGGCAACCATTGGGCCCACTGTTTTGGCTTTTCTCCTATGAAACAATGGAGATCGGCTTCAGTCAGTGCAAGACCCGTTCGAACACCGTTCAAACAGCCTTAACAGCCTTGCATTGGGAACATCTCCATACTTCTGTGTTTTATTTCATCGGAGATATTCCCAATGCAAGGCTATAAAGGTTGTTGGAACAGGCCTTGCACTGACTGAATCCGGATCTGAAACAATGCAAGTTTGTCTCCAAGCAATGGTTGACCACCTCAACTGTCCATCTATCTGAGGGTGGTAGCTGGTTGTGCACAACATCTGGACCCCTTGGACTTGAAAGTAAGCCTCCCAGAACTTGGCCACATCATTTACATAGACCTTATAGGCCTTAGCAACTGAACAGGTTGTATTAAGATGTGGGAGAGCTACAAAATGAGAATACTTGCTCAAACGGTCAACCACCACCAAAACTACTGATTTGCCAGTAGACTTGGGCAAACCCAAGATAAAGTCCATAGTTATTTCATCCCAAACCATCTCAATTATCAGCAATGGTTGTAGCAGGCCTGCTAGGGATTGGGTACTATACTTTTGCAGCTGACATGGGCAATCAAAAAAAATTTTTGGACAATTGCCTTCATCCCCTTCCAATAATAATGCATAGCCAAACGCTTGTATACACATCCGAAACTGGGCTAAATCCAGATTTTGTTGAGCTTCCATTTTCAACTGATCCAAGAGATGGTACCTAGGCCGTGAGCAGGGTTCGAAATTTCAATAAATATCAGACCATATCGACTGATATGTATCGTATCGGGTGCTTCCTGATACACCACTACAGGGGGTGTTTCGGGATTTAACACAGTTCAGGGGGTAGACAGGCCTTAAACCGACCCCTCTGAACCAGGTTTTAAAAAAACTAAAAAAAAAAGGAGAAATCAACTTCGATACG